TAGTACAGGTACTTGGAAATAAAAATTCAAATATTTCTCCCTTGTCCCACAATCTAGTCCCATTTATTATTATTTTACCTTTTCTGTTCAAGTTGTGTTGATTATCTCCATAATTCTGATTATCTTTTACCTTAATTTCTTTGTGTGTCAACTTTAAACAATATCTGTTGGCTTCCCACTGAAGGATCAGACATTTAGCTCATTTATATTAGTCTTCTCATTTATACTTTTTTTTAAAGATTTTATTTCCTTATTTGAGAGAGAGAGACAGAGCATGTGAGTGGGGGAAAAGGCAGAGGGAGAGGGAGAAGCAAACTCCCTGCCGAGTGGGGATGTGGGGCTCAATGCCAGGACCCTGGAATCATGACCTGAGCTGAAGGCAGACACTTAACTGACTGGGCCACCCAGGCACCCCCTTCTCATTTATACTCTTGTTCATCCTCCTAATTTTTGAGCATATATTCATATTTTTATTTTTGTTTCTAAGCTCTTTTTGTTATGTTTGCGGCTTTAAATAATATACTTAAACATAGATTTCTGCTGAACTTACTACAGGCTTCAAGCAAACCAGAATGTTCTCCCAAGAGAAGTGAGGAGTGACAGGTTGAGTTATTTAGGCCCAGTTTCTGCTTGCAGCTTGACCACCTAGATAATTAATGGCTCCTGCCTGGTGGCAGAATACGTGAGAGACAGGGAGAGTCAAATATTACAATAACTGATAATAAAGCAAGGAGAAAATGGGTTTACAGTGGTCACGTGTGACTTCTTCCATTAACAGATGGAGAAATTGAGGCCCAAAACGGAAAAGTGACCTATCCAATGATATTTAGTTAAGAATAGATATTGGACTGCAGTCTGGATCTCTTCTCATTGCTGCTCTAGTTGTGCTGAGGATGTCCCTGTAATAAGTTGGGGATAGAAAACAATATGGTTTTATCAAGTTGATCCTAGATGGGAATGAAAATTTCTCAATATTATATTTTCATAGCTTTTTGTTATTTTTAAAATTATAGTCTTTAACTTCTTAAAAGTTTGTGAACATATTTATTTGTGAAGTAGACTTTATTTTCTGATAGGTTTTGTGGGCCTTTAAGAGTTGAGTTTGTTTTCATAATTATTAAACTTGTTATGGTGATCTGTGATCACTGATTATGACCTGCTGAAAGTTCAGATGATGGGTAGCATTTTTTTATCAGTAAAGCAGATTTTAATTAAGGTAAAAATAAAATAAAACAATAAAAGTTGTGTTTGCTTTGAAGGACATAAATTTCATAAATTCTGAAAAGATACATTAGAACCCTAGGAATATATAACATTTTGCGCTTGCATTTCTGTTTAAAGTGGTTGAAAAAAAATCAGATTCAGAATATTATTTACCAAATAGAGAAAAGAAGACCAATCTTCTCTGGTCCAACTGTATAAATTATGCATAATATTTAGGAGCAAGATCTGGTTTCCATTTTAGTTATTGATTTGAAATAGAGCATTTTGGCATCAGATATGTAGACAGCAGGCATTTCCTGTATTTAATTTATTCCCTCATAACCAAGAAGCAGCTTGATGTAGACAGTTTTATGTGAGGTTTGTCACAGATCCTGTGTGTGCTTTGGAAATGTTTCACATTTCATTAAGTTTAATTCAGTTTTCTGTATGATAAAATATGGGTAAATACATTCTTCCCAACGATATCTTGGAGACTTTATGCTGTGGGTAATAAATTTGTGAAATTTGCTTTTACTTCCTTGAAAGGGATTGCTAGGCAAATAAAATATTTGCCTAAATCTGGCAAGTAAATGTCTTTCTTAAATACTTATTGACACTAGTCATGATTCCTTTCTCTAAGAGATGCTCCAAAGGAGATGGTGAAAATATAGCAGGTTCCAATTTTAATGATTTACTAGTCTTTGTATTTATAACTTTTGGGCATAGGCGGAGAAATTATAGAAACTCACAGATTAAGATTGATATAGGATTAATGGAAGAAGGTATAAGGGGAGGTTAAAAAATAAATTTTATATAATAAATAAGTGAATAAATTGTGACATTTGTTGAGAGCAGTGAATGGAAAGAGAACTCTTATAGACAATTTACTGAGGACAATAAATGGCAAGAACTAGTAGTAGCACTGGGTGGTGGGACGTGGCCCCCAAATTCTGTTAGGTACACTTGGCCACAGGTTAGTGGCACACTCAAAGGAGAGTCTAGGTTTTCTTGGGAATGGAATAAATGTCACACTGTCTTGGCTTGACCAAGACATGGCTTGACCTTATAAATTTAGTCTGCTCTTAGGTAAAGTAAGTGAAGAGAAGGTAGACATTTCTAGCCAACATAAATAATTTCTTAAGGATTATCCACCACAAGTATTCGTTGCTCTTTCCATGCCAACTATTTGGGGATGGTGGTATGTGTGATTGGGTGGGATGGGCAGGAAGAAGGCAGCAGCTATGTTGTAGATGGTAACCAAGCAGAGTCAGCTTTGGCAGAATAGAATTCAGTGATAGAGTGTAATTTGAAATGAGAGAAATTCCTCCATACCAAACGTATGAGCAGTTCAGTGCCTCCGCATTGGAGACTTTGGGTTAAAACGTATCTCTTGGAAATTGCAGTACTGATATCTCTGGAAAATATAATATTTTAAGTCATTATAAGCCACTAATGTTGATGCGGTTGGTTTATTAACCATCACCAGTTGGTCCTGGAGTAGATGGAATATAGGATGACGTATTTAGAGAGAAAATGAGTCGTCCAATGTACTAGAGAACTATGTGTGTGGGAGACAAACCTATGGGGAAATCAAATGGTGCATATAGGTGGGGGTGGCAGGGTGGCATTGCAACATGAGAAAATTTGATTTCTAGAAAAGAAAGAGGCTGGAATAGAGAAAAAAAAGTTCGTGAAAGATGTGAATAAAGGGCTGACTCCCCCCACGTCTGTTTGTTTGTTTGTTTTGGCAGAGATTGTTTTGATAGATTTTTAATAAAAGAGAGATTAGCTAACACCTTTTACAGCTCTAAAGAAAGGAGCCCATTGGTGGGAAGCAGAGCAGAGTACTGGGAGTAAGAAATGCTGTAATCATTCAGGTTCTCAAGTTTGTTAAGTAACAGCTAGCTGAGTGTTTCTCTTATTGTCTTACTCTAGGATCCCACAGTGACCCTGGGAGTTGCTTCATATCTATTAGAACTAAGAAAGATTGCTAATATTGATTAGAAGGATCTGTGAAGGGTTATATTATTAAAAATAAAGTTACCTAATTCCTAATTGGAAGATTTCCATGCATCTCTCCATTTTTTAATTATATTAGTGGTATCTGTGTTCTATAGCCACCTCCCACTCTGTCCCAGGCAAACACAAACAAGCAAATACCTACTTATTACCTAAAATCACCAGGCCCAAACTCTTCATTTTCTTATCACAGTTTATTGTTGTACATATGAGGTACCATGCTACTATCAGAATTATATTTAGGTTTTTTATTTTAAAAAACTCAGAGAAAAAAATGTTTCCAGTAATTTTCATTCAATGTGAATGACAAGAATATCATAGCTATAAACATTGAAATAACCATTTCATTTCTTCCTGAGGAAGTTCCAGTTTTAAGCAATGAAAAAGGAATTCTATACAAAGCTAGTTTTAAGTCACATTAGCTCTCATTCTTTTCTCATAAGCATTTATGTTACTTTTAGACTATCTTAATAACCAGCTGGAGTATATAATGTAGAAAGTATATATGTCCTCTAGAATTTGATGTTGCCTCCAAGATACATTGAATGGTCAAAAATCCTTTCAAAGTTCTGCTACTATAGATAGCATAATGCCTGTCCTGTGAATGAGTAAATTTTGGTATGATTTTTTCCTTTTTCTTTCATTATACAAGCATCCAGTATGTTTTTTAACATTTATCTTAGAGGGTAGGCTGTTCACTTGACTCAGTTTACCTAGACAGAATTATGCCATGAGCAGCTTTGTTTAGAAATTTAAATACACATCTCATCATTAAAACACAAATGTATCAGTTTTTTTTTCTTTTTTTATCAGTAGAAATGTTGTCAAAATAAAAACATGACACTGTATGTAACTGCTGGGGCTTACTCTCACTATGTGTTCCCCTCTTAAGCCAGTTTTCTTAAATTAGTGGAGATGAAAGACTACATTCATTTTCCTACCATGCTGGGCAAGTGCTGCTTTGAAAAAGGCAGCAGTAAGCATGAAGATTGAGTTCATCATATTTGTCCAACTGACTTTGATTTTGCTTTTACAGTAAGGGTCTTAAAAACTTGTTCTTTCTCCAGTTCTTTTGGCTATTAGCTTGTTTGTTTAAAACGTTGTATCATTTGGGTACATAAAACTTTAAAAAAATTTTAATAATTATAATGTGATTTAAAAAATTTATAGTAATGGAAGGATCTCAAAATTTGTTTTCTAATTAGTGAATGGTTGATAGAGTTTAGTTTCACACATTATAATGACAAAGAAAATATTTGGGCAGTAGCTTTTCCTTGCATATTTTTTTTCCTGATCATACTTTTGATAACATTTTATAATGGCTTATGTAATCATAGCAGGGAATTTACTACTTAATTTTTTTATGTGTACAGTGAATTTAAAAATTAAGTAAATGCAAGCATAGGACAATAAGTATGATTCTTTTTTTTGAATACTTTATTAATCATATGATCAATTAAGATTTAAGTTAAGGAATCATGTCTGGCTCATCTTTGTACTTCCTCCATTTAATTTGGTAGATAATCCCTATACTTAACTATGTTTTATTGTTTTCCATAAGAGAATATACAAAATATTCTAAAAAAAAATGGGACGCGGCCTTGACTTATTTTCTTCTGCCTTATATTAAAAGTATCATGGGAAATATGAGATTAAAAATCATATATCAATTTGTTTTTTGTTATAAATCTCTACATTACACAATTTCATTTTGAACTATCTGGAAAAATGTAGTTTTTCTATAATTTAAATATGAATAACAACATATCACCTAGAGACACTGTGCTTAGTTTTCATTTAATAGGTCTTGTTCTGGAGAAAATTAAAAAAAATGTTATTTACTTTTAAAAGTCAGTATGTTTCTGGAGATGACACATACCTCACATTCTATGCGAGTGTTTCTGTAGAACCAGTGAGGACTATTGGAGTAGATTTGTAGCTCACAAAAAGGATATAAATTGTCAATGGTATATCTTCAGACCCCTACAATTTCTCCCTTTTAGAGGATTTCATGAGTACACTTTACTATTTACCATTTTAGTATACTCATCGTGTTTCCATATACCTTTTGATGGCTTTACAACGTATCTCAGTATAACAATTACATTATGACAGAGAAGTTAGTAATTTTTACATAAATGCACTAGAGTATGTGTATGAAATATCACTTTTTTCTTTGCTATAGCACTTACCTTTTTATTTTGATGCAGATAAGCCTCATATATAACTTTTCCACTCTCTGATCTAGCACAAATTGTAATTTACAATTCTTTCTAAATATTCAGTAGATTTATATCTTGGCAAGCATTTTTCATGGGTATTATGCCTTTGGCATTTTATGCTACATTGTGATGTTTATTTTGCTTCTTGTTTTGTAGGACACTTTATAGAATCAAAGAATAAGAAAACATTTTACAGGCAAACAGTGGTCTAAAAATCTACAGAGACGCAATCTTAGCTGATATATAAAAGTGTAAATATTACTATGAAATGGAGCAATTCTGCATTTGCGTCTGATACCTATATTGGTTGCAGTTGACTTCCACATGAGTGCACAGTAGTCTACAATAATCCCACAGGCTCAGATATGGATTAAGAGAAAGGCCATAGGCCTCAAGGCTTGTAACAGGTATATTTTCTTTTTTTTTCTTTCTTTTTTTTTGTTTTTGTTTTTCTAGTCATCCACATGCCAGCACATGGAAGGAACTTTGTTCTTTTATTCTCATTTGAAGAGGTATATTTTTAAACAGCCTTTTGGTAGCTTCTGGAAGCTTTGGGAAAGGTGAATGTTACATGGCAGATGGGCTCTCAAGAAGTTTTCTCAGTGCTATCTCACTTTCTGCAGCTCCTGTCTCAGCCAGGATGGCAGAGGCTGCCCCAGTCTGTGTAGCAGTTTGGACAGTTCCACGTTGTGATCTCGGTAGTAGCTTGACAGAAACGCTCTGCTCTGAGGTGGGACACAAAAGGACATTTCACTTTGTTGATTAAAGTATACTTCATATACTGTGATGATGTTTAAGTATACCATACCTGAGATTTATACTAAGCACCTGGGCTATTTATTTAGCATAACAGAAGCACAGTGACTCTCTTCTTCAAAATAGACGCTCTACCAGCATACACTGTTTTTACTACGGAAAGAGATTTTGTATTAATCATGTGATTTACTTGAAAAAAAAAATAACTGGTTTGAGTTGCTAGAAAAATAGCTGTGACAACTGGTTGGGTCTAATATGATGCTCTTATTAAAATCATCCTTGCTTTGGAGAACGTTAGTTGGGAACATCTACAATATAAAATACTCCTTGGTCATCATTAATTTACATTTAGATTTGGAAGGTATGTAATACTTTCTGAAGAGATGTTTTAAGGCATACAAAGGCATACTGCTAAAAACAGTATTGTGGCAGGCTTGAAAATGTAGTAGGCTAACTGGGTTAACGTCTAACCTGCTATATTTGTATGATTTGACCCAAGGAAGGAAAATAATGCCTTGTAAACTATCTTGACTTAGAGGGAGGTAGATTCCTCTTCAATAAAGAAAAGATTTTAATAATTGAAACTGTCAAAACTGGAAAGGGCTGTGCTGTGAGATGGCATTTAGTGGCATTCATATATAGGTTGGATGACCGTTGTTAGGAATGTTGTAAAGGGGGGATTTCTGCATCTGTACCTTCAGGCTTTGTACTACTCTGAGATTTTTGGCAGAGTCAAACCTTTAAACAATGTTTATTTAATTCCTTGTGCTATTCTTTTAAAATGTCATATCTGGTACTCGATTTTAAACACCATAGAAGAAAGTCTCATTTTGTATTGATAATTTCAATGTAACAGTGACTTTTGTAGGAATCATGATCACTGGAATTCAATAGAATATTTGTGCTATCTTCTAACCATTAATGGGATCAAGGGAGAATCCAAACCATTGTGTGATTTGTGGCTGTCCGTCTCATTTCTGTCTTTGGTCTTCCTCAGTCATTAGCTCTAAAACCACCGACAGGACGAGCTTGCATTATCAGGCAAAAGAAAACAGTAGAGATAAATATTATTTCCCAGATACTATATCTGGGAGCCTGATAATTCTGTGCCTCCTTTGCTGCCAGCCAGACCTGGAATCTAGGTAAGAGCCTGAGGTCCTTGTCTCTGAGTTTCTGAACTTCCCCATTTTGTTCTCTCTTAATGGCTCACTTTGTACTGTTTTCTCTTTATGACTCAAGTCCTGCTTGGAATAGCAGCAGCCTGGGGCTACCCAGTTCTTGCCTGCTTGCTCTCTAATATTTCCATCTGGTAAGTAATTGTCCAACATCTTAACTAAGTCTAGAATTGAACCTCCTGGGATCCATTTCTACTGTCCATCCCTTTGGTGTCTGAACTGAACCTCCTGATACTGGCCTCAACCTATTGGCCTTTTGGGCGTTATTTTCATACCTGGCTGCCTGTGTCAGTGCACCTCTGTAAACTAACTCTTGTCCTGTGCCCTATTATGTGTACGTGTGTCCCCATAATCATGTCCTCTTACTCAAGTACCCTTTCCTCTTGTTGCTTTGCTCTCTCATTCTGGCAAGACAAATGAAATGAGATTTGCAGTGTACGATATGTTCTATTTTAGATTCTAATATGTTCAGGCCAAAAGTTATTGGAACAGAACTTTGTGGTGTGCAGGATTTATTGAACACACATTGTTATCTGACTGTCATTCAGAAGGGGGAGTATTTTAGATGGTAAAATCACAGATAGGATATATGCTAATGTATGTCACGGTAATCTGACTACTTCACACAAATGCATGTAAAATAATGTAATAAGAGGAGATAATAATATATACTTTTATAATATAAAAATATAAAAAGAGGGAATCATATGATACATTCAATATCAGGTTGTATATTGGCCTTTTATTAAACTAAAGAATCTATTACATGCTTTTGATTTGGAGAGATATTAGATTTAATGGTATTAATTTAGAATTTAGATTAATTTATTCTTATTATTCTAATAATTTAGATTAATTTATTCTTTTTCCACACTATATTTTCACAAACAAAGTAAAAGTAGAAGCAGGCCAAAAGCTTTCTTAATTTACCTGGGTTAAATGCATTCTGTGATGTTTTGGTGACAGTTGGGTGCTGGCATTTTTCTGTAATAAGGGGAGAAACGAGCCACGTTGTGACAGTACCACCTCCTCTCATCCATTCTCACAGTCGTGTGTCCGTTGTCTCTAAGAAGGCTCCTCTACTCTTGCCTTCTCTCTGATCACTATTTGCATAAAAGCAACCACTCTACGCCCTCAGATAAACCCAGTATTTACATGATATTGTGATACAATAAGAAATATATGTATTTGGTTTTCATTTCGGGTTCCTGGCCAAGAGCTCCTAAAATGCTTGCAATTCCCTGAGTGATAGGGGTGAAAGGAGTGTGTTTTGTTATTTATAATAAGTTAAGCCATACCTGAATTTATGCTAATGAGGTGACTCTTGGTGGGACCATAGATAGTGTCAGATGGGGGCTAGTTGCTACAGGAACAAAATGTAAGATTAGAGGTTGAGAACTCTCAGCCCAACCCTCTGACCTCCAAAGAAGGAAAAAGGGACTGGGGATTGAGAAGATGACTAATGGCCAGTGATTTTATCAATCATGCCTACCTAGATGGAACTCCCATAATAACTCTAAATGAAGACTCTGGAGAATGTCAGGGTTTGTAAATGCATCCATGTGCTGGGAGGGTGATACACCACAAACTCCACAGAGACAGAAGCTCCTGTGCTTTAGCACCCTTCTGGACCTTGTTCTATGTGCCTCTTCCCCTGGCTATTCATTTGTATCCTTTATGATAATAGAAAGTAAAGTGTTTCCCTGGGTTCTCTGAACTGTTATAGCAAATTTTAAAACCTGAGGAAGGGGTCATGAGAACCCTTGATTTGTAGCCACTTTGGACAGAAGTGAGTAATCTGGGAACTTGTTATTTGCTATTGGAGTCTGAAGGGAGGGCAGTCTTGTGGTAGTAAGCCCTTTACCTGTGGGGTCTATACTAGTTAGTGTCACACTTGAGTTAAATTGTAGGGCACCTCGTTGGTATATGCAGAAATTTGCATGATTGGTTGGTATGAAATGCCACACACTTGGTGTCAGAAGTGTGAGTTAAAAACCCCTTGGAATGTATTACACAGTAACCTTGCTGGAGTATCAATATGGAAGTACTGATATTCTAAAAAATTTTGTTTTTCTTATCTTTCTCTACCACAAAATCTAATATTATGTCTCAGTATGTCTGTGTTTGATAAGAGTAAAATAAAATGCTAAGAAAGATGTTGTATAGTGTCTTTTAAACACTTTAGTTTAATAAATAAAGTAAATATAATAGAGAAATAGATTTGACATAAATGAAAATGATATATTTTATATTACTTTCTTGAAATACCATGGAAATTGCCCTTGAGTTTCTATTAATGTGTCAGGATTATTTTTATAGTGCTCTGAAGGTAAATTTTAATAATTATCCAAAGAAAACTATCAAAGAAATATTACTGTGCAGGCCACATTTATTATATAGTGTGACTTAGTGGGGGAAAAAACAGAAATCTTTTGGTCCTGTTTTCAATTTCTAGTTGATGTATTTCCTGTCTTGGTTTCATTTTTAGGGCTAAATTTTCTGTGAATGTATCATTCTTTTTGTAATGAGATGTTGCCTTCTTTGTTCTGCTTCAAAATAGAAAGTTCTGTTTTCCTTTATTCTTGTATGACAGGTAATGTATCATTGGAAAAATCCAAATAAGCAACCTGGATACATTTGAAGTCCAAATGTCACTTGTAATTTTTAGAAGGGCTAAATTTTTATTTTAACCACTTTTATAAGAAAATACATATTATTTATTAGTTTGCTTATTTAATTTGTATTTATAAGATTTATACTTACATCAAGATCCATTGGAGGGTATTTTCTTCCTTTGCTCTTTCCAAGGCATTTTGTTTTACCTTCTTCCAATAACTGACACCAGAAACCTTTATGAGAATCAAACCTAAAAAAAAAAAAATTAAAAACACAAAACACAAAAAAGTATTTTTCAAGCAATTTATAAGGTATAATGACCAAAACCATGAATTTATTTTTGGATCTTAATCTATAACCAGAGAAACTGGCATATTTTTTGACTAAGTCACTTTGCATAAAGCCTTTTGGCATACTTCTGAATTCTTAGTCCATCTGTCATATTTGTGAGTTTGCCAGACTCCTAATAGAAAAATTGTCAGCAGAAGGTCTCCTATTAATAGAAATTAATAAGCCTACCTCCTTCATCTGGAAGGAAAAAGTTTTATAAATTTCAAGTCTGTTCTTTTCCTTTGTAGGGTTTAAAAATGACAAGTCAGGTTTCATCCATATCTATGGATGTATGTAGTATTTATCCCATACAATTACAGAGTAATAGAAGAGAGAGGGTTTTGGTGTGCCATGGAGTGATTAATTTTAGGGTTCTCCAGCTATAATCCACTTACTTTTTTTTCCAGAGCCACTTTCTTATTTTGGTATGAGCTCTGTATTAAAGTCACAGTACCTATAAATATGGATTTTCATGGCATAAATATAATCAAAGTAATAGTAACACATTAAATTTATATTTTATTTTTTATCTTTCATGTTGTTTTATTTATTATTTGTTATTTTTTTAAGTTTTAATTTTAATTCCAGTTAGTTAACATACTAAACTTACATTTTAGTTTACCAAAACATTTTTTTTAAAGATATCATTTATTTATTTTAGAGAGAGAAAAAGAGTGGGGGTAGGTCAGAGGGAGAGGGAGAGAATCTGAGGCAGACTCAATGCTGAGCATGGAGCTGGATGTGGGACCAATCTCATGACCTGAGATCATGACCTGAGCTGAAACCAAGAGTCAGACACTCAACTGACTGAGCCACCCAGGTGCCCCAGTTTACCAAAATGTTTTATGTAGCTCATTCTCCTTTGAGCTTTCATTATAACCCCTCAATGATATGGAGTACAGGATTCTTCCCATTTTATGGCACTTAGCATAGTGTTTGGTCTTTCTGAATGTTCACTGAATGTTAGTTGAATAAAAAATGAAAGAGCAGGAAATGTTTGTCAAGGTTTATTTCTCTTGGACTATATATTTTTTCCGTATGCAGGTCATAACCTAAATCTAGGCCTCCTTACTCTAAGTACAATGCTTTTTCTTCTTCACTGGTCTCTGGTTATGTTTTATATAACCATTCATTATGAATAAATAGTAATTTTCATGCTTGAATATAAAAGCAAAAATAAGAGTCAGCAATGATAATTCTTTTACATTGCTTTTGTAATTTAATAATTCTATTGCCATACTTTCTTCTTCATTAGAAAGAATTATCACTTGGGGCTACTTTTTCCTTTTGTTTTTAAATCCACACTACTCAGAATACTGTTTCTGACTTTTCCTTAAAAGCATAGGGTGAGCAGTGAACAACTGGCAACGAAAAATAACACATTTAAGTTAGCCTAAAAATGTGAAATACCTAGGGAAAAATTTAACATAAAATATGTGCAAGATCTGACACTGAAAACTACAAAGCATTGATTGTAAAGAGGAATTGTAGAAGACATAAACAAAGAGGGCTATAGCATGTTCGTAGATCAAAACACTAAGTATTTTGAAAATATCAACTCCAAATTTATCTATGGATTTGGTGTGATTCCAATCAAAACTGCAATGGAATTTGTAGGAATTGAAAAGAGGATTTTAAAATGTATATGGAAATGCGAAGGACCTAGCCAAGCTAAAACAATTTGAAAAAGGAGAACAAAGTTGGAGATCTTACACTATAGAGTTTTAAGATTTACTGTAATGCTACATAATCAGGTCTGTGTGGTATTTGCACCAATGAATAAATGGAAAAAAATAGAGTCCAGAAATAGACCATCACATCTACAATCAACTGATTTTCAAAAGCAGGTGCCAAATAAATTTGATGGGAAAGAACAGTGTTTTAAACAAATTAAACTGGAAAAATTAGATCTCTCTATGGAAAATATGAATATTCACACTTACATTGTATTTAACAATTAACCTGAAGTCAATCATAGACCTAGACTTGAGGTAAAACTATAAAAATTTTGAAAGTAAAAAGGAAAAATCACAGAAAAGTTTTGTAATCTTGATTTAGGCAAAGATATTTTAGGATGAATGATAAAAGAAGAATAATGATAATTTTGAATACCTCAAAATTTAAAACCTTTGTTTTTCTAAAATACTTTAGAAAATGAAAAGAGAAGTCATAGAATAAGCAATAGTATTTGTAAAACATAGGACTAATAAAGGACTTGTATTCAGAATATATAACTCAACAAAAAAAGATGACAATACCAATAAAGATTGGGTAAAGATTAGCACAGGTACTTCATCAAAAAACATGTGAATGACTGGTAAACAAACGAAAATTTGTTCAACATAATTAGTCATTAAGGAAATGCTAATTAAAATCACAAATGAAATACAACTATGCACTCACTAGAATGACAATTTAAAAAGACCAATACCAAGTGTTGGCAAAGATGTGGAACCATTAGAGCTGCCACACCTTGTTGGTAGAAATTAAAAATATTATAGCCATTTTGGAAAGCTTCTTATATATTTAACCATATAGTTAATATTTGACCCACCAACCCCATTTTTAGGTATATATCCAAGAAAAATTAATTTATATGTGCATACAAATAACTATACACAAATGTTTGTAAGTAGCCTTAAATGGAAACAACTCTATGTCTATCAATTAGTGAAAGGATGAACAAATTGTGGTATATCCATAAAATGGAGTACTACTCAATGATAAAAAAGAGCTAATTACTGATAGATGGAACAACAGGGAGGAATGTCAAAAGCACTATGCTAAGTGAAAGAAAGTAGATGAATGGTTGCTGGGGGTCAGGAGTGAGGGGAAAGGATTGACTGCAAAGGAGCATGAAGAGACTTTTTGTGTTAATGGAAATGTTCTGTGTCATCAATCTGTACAGTTAAAATGGGTAGATTTTATTATATATGAATTTTATATCAATAAATTGATTTAAAATTATACTGTGATCGAATGTGTGTGTATATGTATGGATGTGATTTGGAAGGTATATGTAGCTAATCTTGTGGCGTTTATAACATAGTTGTATGAAAAGAATGCAAACCTAGATTTCTGCTTCTATACTGGTTTGGATATTAGAGACACTAAAGAATTATTCACATCTCACTTATGCAAAGCCTATTTCTCATGATTACTGACACAACTGTGTGAAATCAGGACACAACATGATATGTCTTCATGTTATTTATATTCTTGTTTGAATCAGTAAGGCAACTGAATAAAGTACTCGCACAGTCAGAAGTATAAGAAAAAAAAGCATTTAAAAGACTATTATTTAAATAATCTGTACATGAAAGCTGGGAAGCTCTAATATGACACACTTTCTGGAAGTCTGCTATTGATATAGTATTTTTCATAAACATTTTGTCCTTAGCAATTTCTACAATTGAATTCTGGCTCATTTCAAGTATTTAAGTGATCAAAATTCAGAATCCAGACCAACTATTATTATTATTTTTTTGATAATATACCTAACTATAGATACATCTCTGGAACATACATATGCCTTATGTTAAAATGAGCAGCCATCTGACAGAATGATGTTTTCTTAAGAGACACTGAACTTCACACATAATATAATTGAGAGTCAGAACAAAAATGGGTTTTTCTTTCATCTCTTAATTGGTTACATCTCATGCAGCAGGCTGTCACACTGGGCTTTATTGAGAAAAAGTATGTGTGTGTATGTGTGGCTGGCAGGTAACCCAGGCATCTGTATGCATAAGGCAATGGCCTAAGTGTGTTGGAGAGGGAAAAAAAAGGAGAGGAAGGCATAAGGGTGATCATGTTTATTTTCCAGGTGACTTGAGCTAGAGGTGAAGGGATTGATGTTGACCTTATGAGTTTGAAGACATCAGCAATGCAATTTCAGAGTTCAAGTGAAGAAGCTTGACACAAAACAGAGAAAGATCTCCCTACATCTGTTTAGAATATCATCAGTGTTCCTCTTAAGATTAACCTTGGTACCACTGATATCTGCTGGGACAGCAAGAAACCTTTGTGTAGGCACTAGTCATGGCTAGAACCCTCCTTTAAAGGACTTCAGGAAGTGAACCTTTTGGGGGAAATTTTTTGTGTTGTTTACACCTCTGGTTACCCACCCCTTCCTGGACGTAGAGATACTTTGTTTATCATTGTATCCCAGAGTCTTTCACATAATAGTCATCCAAGAGAACTTTGTTGAATTAGAGTAAAACAAGAATGGATTTGTTCTTCTCTCACTCAAATAAATAAAATCTTAAGGGGGCACCTGGGTGGCTTAGTCTGTTGAGTGTCTGTCTTCAGCTCAGGTTATGATCCTGGGGTCCTGGGATTGAGCACCACATCAGGCTCTGTGCTCAGCGGGGAGTCTGCTTCTCCCTCTCTCTCTGCCCCTCCCCCCACTTGTGCACTCTCTTTCTCTCTCCCAAATATATACAATCTTAAAAAAAAAAAAGAAAGGATTGGTTCTTAAATTTCTATAGAATATCACCTGGGGATGTCTAGAAATAACTGGAAGAGACTTGTAGTCAGGGACAATTGAAATTCTCCAATGATTCAGAATCCAACTGGTAACATTTGGGCAGGTGAATCTGAGGGAATATTTGGATTATACTTAGTAGTTCAAGTATGTTTAAAACGACTTTAGATTGAAATAACATTTCCATGGGAGAATAGTGAATTGCAAACAATGCAGGTAAATTTCAAAATCAAAACAACCATCATTCAGGTGTTACTAATATGGAACAAACAGAAGTTACCTTTTGTTTGTTTTTGTTTTTTAAATCAGTTTCCTCTCTACAAACATGCTTTTATGATTTAATGAGCCATTTTGCTGATACCCGTTTTATTTGTAACAGTTTTTTAAGGTATAATTTACTTATAACACTCATACAATTAAGTGATTTGTAGTAAGTTTATATAGTTGTATAAGTATCACCACAATCCAGTATTAGAACATTTCCATAATCCCCCAAAATTCCTTAGAGCCCACTGGAAGCAATCCCTGCTGTTATGTCCAGGCCCAGGCTAGCACTGATCTACTTTCAGTCTCTAATTTGTCTTTTCTGGAAATTTCCCCCCCCCCCTTTTTTTTTTTTTTTTTGCTGGAGTGGATATGCCAAATTTTGTTAATCCATTTACCAGGTGATGGATATTTGGGTTAGTTCCAGTTTTTGGCATTCATTCGTTCATTCATTTATAAAAGTTTTTTTTGTCTTTCGAACACATTGATTTCCTCACTTCATAAGAGCATTCTAAAAGTAGTATCACTAGCATACAATCACAATGTTAGAGAACACTGAATAAGCATGAGCCTTAAAAAAACATCACAGGGTAGACAGTGGGATGATAAACTGTTAATTTAAATTTATGAAGTAGAGTCCAACAAAGTAGGAATCACATGTGGTTCCCACCATGGAGTTATCAGTTTCTGGCTATTATTAATAATGCTTCTGTTAACAAGTATTTGTTGGATGTAGGTTTTCATTTCTCTTGGGAGTGGAATTATTTGTAAGGTTCTGTTTAATTTTTAAGAGACTGCAAAATTGCTTTTCCAAAGTGGCCATATATTATACATTATCATCAGCAATATATGAGGGTTCCAGTTTCTCCACATTTTTGCTAACATTTGGTATTGTCTTTTGGATTACAGCCATTCTAGTGGTATTTCAGTGTGACTTTAATTTGCATATCACTATGATTGCACATTTATGATGCAAAGTGATTGTGTGTCTGAAGGTGGATTCTTTTTATAAGAAAGCCTGAGACAACTTACAAAGCTCATTTTAAAGTTTCAGTCTTTTAAAGAAAGTGCTTCCTATTGGTGTACTATTCATTAGTCATAATTTACAATATTGTTTTTTTCTCTGGTTCTAACATCTTGTGCCAACTTAAAGAGCTGAATAGATTGGCAGCACAGTCCAGTGGACTAATTGAGTTTTAGTCCTGAGTCCTCAATTTATTTGCTGAGTGACTTTTGGCTTAGCTTTTCTGTATCGGTTTTTGTTTTTGTTTTTATTTTAGCTGAAAAATGGAGCTAATAGTACCTATCACATACAGTGTTGGTATTAAGCAATATACGTAAACATATAAATGTAGAATATATATATTTATATTGATTTTCAAATGTTATAACCCCTTTTAAAAACAAATTAATCATAAGAAATTGGAGCAGACTGTCTTTTTCACAACTTACCATTGCTAGGTGCTTCTTTCATGGGTCATCCAGGGAACCAACAGATTTTAGCTACTATGGCTACTTTTTTTTTGCTACTGACAAAGATTTTAATGTGGCACATTTTTACTCAAACTCATCTACAAAGGGATGGGAAAAACTTCCTTGGCAATATAAATTTGGTTGCTAGGGGAAGGGGGATGAGACACAATTGAAGACCTTCTTGAATTCTGAAGCAGCTTTGATTCTTTATGACTTACTAAGCCCCACCCACAGAACAAAACAAAACAAACCCACAATCTTTATTCAGCCCCTGGCCTTCAAATTCTTGTTGTCCATTTATTGAAATTTTCACAGTAAATTCATATAACTCAACCCAGTTTCATCTGTGTTAACAAAGAGGTTAACTGAGAAGTAAAGATGTTAAGTTCAGGTATTTAACCAGTATTTCTACATATGAAACCTCTTGTCGTGGTCATTGATGGCTACGTGTAATTGTGAGTGCATATATTCATGGAAAAATAAAAAGTTTATATTTTTCATAAATTAGTTTATATAAATTAGCACAATTCCATGCTAAACATGATTTTTACTGCTTTCTCTGAAATGATCAGTCAGCCTAAACACTATGTAACATGTAACATGAAAGCTAAAATAGTGTGAGTTTATCAATCCTATTTACAATTTAGGCATGAAGGTTATATTGAACAAGAATTGTAAAATACTAATTTCCTTAATTGCATGAGAAGTTCCCATTTATATTGTTTAAAACTTATACTGCTTAATCACATCATTCTGACCAAGAAAATCAGATTTTTTTTTTTACATACTAAATGTCATTTAAAATTCATGATGACAGTACTAAGTCATTTTTGAGACATCATAGACTATCCAAGGACCGCATGAAATTTGGAAGTCTTGAATACTTTCTTTAGCAGTTGTGGAAAGGAATAAATAATACTCTAACAATGGAAACTTACTCCCATTTTTCTTGAAAACAGTTTTGAAATTGAAACTGTTTTTATATTTCAGATAATCAGTTTATAGAGTGCTTAAATTGGAGTACTTTTTCATGCCAAAACTGTATAGTAAAATCTTTGTGTAGACCTAATTTCATTCATTTATTCTTCTCTGTGCAAAAAACCTGGCTTTATGTGGTTAGTTGAGAATTCATATCTGTTTTCAGTTCAGTACGTTCTTAGAGGATTTTAATTATTTCTTTTTAAGTACCAAAGAGATAGTCTTCACTATCACTAGCAGAAAAAATATGAAGCAATAAATGACATTCCTGAGAACATACATTCTGTTTGACTCCTGCTCATCCTCAACATGTCCAAAGCACCACAGAAAAAATTTATCAGTACAGTTACTTTAACAAGAGTAACTAAATTATCAGGGCAGGGTTCGGAACTGCAAAGGGCTTGGTGAAGGAGGAGGTACCCCAATTCAGACCTAAGGCAATGACCTGAAATTCCAAATATTCTACAACAGCTCCACTGCTGATGTGTGTAAGGCCAACTGATGACTGACAAGAAAATCTAAAAAGAAACTGAATGGCTGTACATTATTTCTATCAGCAGGGTGAGAGCTTGGGCAGCCCTGCAGGGCGAGAAGCTATGGTTTCAGAGACTACACATATCTTATCTTGCTGCTTCACCCACTGAGCCCCATACCAGGTTAGAGAATCATATAACAGGCAGTTTTAGCCAGATACATCCCAGGTGCAAAGTGATCCACAGTTCTTTGTATATAGAATGTTCTTTGATATCACTTCTCTTAAGTTTACACTCCCTTTTCTCGACTGTGGAGGTGAATAAAAAGCTTGCTGCTGAGCTGGATGCAAAGGGGACAAATAACACAGCATGCAGGTCAAGGACCATTCCATAAAAAAGGAGATTATGTCTTTATAGAATACTTCACTTCTTTTTTCTGAAATACAATGCTTTGCTATATGCTCTATAAAAAAGACCCAAAGATAAACCAACTTGAAATAGAAAACTGTTTAGAAAATAAAAGCTTTCTTTTCTAAGAGATGCTTAAAAAGATATGAAGCAGAAAGTGGACTTGAATTTCTAACAGCAAACTAAAATCACTCAGGTTTCTTTAAAGTCAAGCTGAAAGTTAAATACCTGAGGCGAGTAGAGTCTGTATTAGTACTTGAACTAAACTCTACAAAGCTCTAATAGTACTCGTAGTGTAAAAACACAGAGGTCAGAAGGCTACTAGTAACAACAAAGTAAATGGCTCTTGGGAAGGATGCTCAAAAGCCAAGTTCCTTTGTCCTCCATACCAAAATGTCTTTCTTACATATATCTCTACATATGATTTGTTCAAGACATAAGTAGTCTTTGATGTTTTTCTGCCAATTTTTGTCATAAGGGATGCTGAAAGGTAAAGGAATTCTGCCTCTCACAACTTGTAACTTGCTATAAGATAAAGCGTACAGTAAAAAAAGAAAATCACTTGATCTATAGAAGTAAGTTTTATAATGAGAAATACAATGGAAGAATTCCATAACACCCCCTTTCAGTTTCTTTAAGGCTCAGCCTATGACCCTAAAATTAAAAAAGACAGTGTTATAGTGGGGGTCAGGTCCATGGCCCATCCAATTTAGTATCTTCCAGTTGCTCTAGGCATGGGAAATAGGAATAAACACAACCCTCAGAAATTTGATTGCCAACCATAATAGCGGACAAAGTAAGATGGAGGTCTTATTTAAAATGCTAAATGGAGTCCAAAGTCAGGATTAAGGTAAGCTAAGAGAGGTACGTGGGGTGCAGAATTTCAGGAGGCATTCTCTCTTGGGCATTTGCATGGACCTGACAGCGAGTGCCTCCTTAAATCCTAACGCTTCTCTTGCCTTATCCTCGCCCTGGCCCAGATGGAGTCAGTTACCTAAGCAAATCAGAAAAAAAGTAGCAAAAGGAAACCAAACCAGAGCTGTGATTGCTTTGGCCACCTGAAGAGGAGGTGACAGGGTCAGATAACACAGTGAGTAAAAACGCAGAAGCAAAAAATGGAAGTATGTGTAAGAGCACATCTGTCTCTGCCAATTCAGTCACCTATTGGGTGATTTCTTGCTGCATGACATTGTTTTTGCAAATTGCACAACAGATGGAGGAGAGAGTTCATAAACCATCTAGTTGGTCACCTCTTTATGCTTCCACCGGGTTCCTCCTATTGTCTGTTAAACAGGCTCAGCACTTACCGACCTAAGTAGCCTCTTATGTGGTTAATTGCTGGTTTTAAGATTTACAATTATTTTGCTTCTCTACTTTCCTTCTAGGGGAAAATATTTCATGAGTTAGAAATCAACAGAGGATTTAGGACATTTATTTGCCACACTGTTGAAAGCTTGTTTCCAAGTAGTTAATGTCAAGCTAATCAGAAAATCAGTATGTAAGGAATAGCTAACATAACAGCTGTATCTCCAAACTACAATTTTTTAAAAACCAATTCTCTCCTGAAACTTCAATAAGTTAATTAGAATATAAACTTACGTTAAAGCTTCAGAGTAATTATAATGAGGAGAGACTCCTAGAAATTTCTGTACTTCATCCATCACTGTAGCAGGATCCATCCTTAGCTGTTGCCCATCAATAATTAGCAACTAAATTACCAAAGGGGGAAAAAAAAGACAATGCGCATTGAAAAAAGATGTGTAACTGTATAATAAAAAATTCCTGCATTCTTGAATTTATTCAATGAGAGACATTCTACTGAGGGGATTTGCACACATTGTTGTTAGACTTAACCAGGCCCTTCTAATTAATGGCCTGGAATAAGAAATAAATCACACTAAATCACACACTAATGAACTCATGTTTTTATAATCTGAGAAGTCCCAAAAATATGAAAACAAGAAAGCCATTTGAGGGAACCAAAAGAGCTTAAGAAACGTGGCTACAAAATCACAAATGGAAACCAAGCAAACAAGGATTCCATCATTCAAGCTGGGAAGGAGCACTGTAGAAAAGAAGAAAAGTTGGAATAACACCAGGTGTAATGAGGCAGAGGACATGTCATTCTCCATGAGTCCATTCAAAGAAGTAGCACTGTAAAGTTTTAAGAAATAGTTAGATAATCCATTTGGAGAAAAAGGCAAGACTCCTAGAGGACCTGAATGTGGACAGAAGTTCCTCAACTGACGAAGGGAAAGAATTTGCTTGTTACTCTAGGGAAGGAGGCAGGTGGCCAGAAAGAAAATGCCAGAACACCATGATGGAGGACCACAAAGTGACCACAATCTGTTCTTCCTTTTTGCTCATCCCTCTCCTCCAATATTTCTGTTTAGTCTAGATTGGCATTGTTCACTAAAATGTTTTGTGACTATAGGCATGTTCTAAGTTGTGGTGTCTAACAGGTAGCTATTGAGCATTTAAGATGTGACCTATGTGATTGGGAAACTGACTTTTTAATTTCATTTAATTTTAATACAAATTTAAATAGCCAGATGTGGCAGCAGTTATCACATTGGACAGCGAATCTAGACACACAGGCATGCACCATGTCTGTGTGACTGGACTGCTTTATGCAATCCAATATAGGGGCTGAGTTTGTAATCTAGGTTGGTGCCTGGCAAAAGAGAGAAGCAAGGAAGGCAAGAAAAACATAGGACTCATGAAAAATTCAGCAAGGTGGTTCAAAGTGAAATAATGACACTTAATTAAGCAAAACAATATTTTTCAGGGATATGAAGCTTTTGAAGCTCTTTACAATCAGGATGGGCATGCACTAGAAAATACAGCAGGGAGAATATTCTGAAATACTTTTAGAAAGAAAATTAAGCAGTTTGTCTACCTCTGCCTAACTAGTATTCTTTGCCACAGTCTTATTTACAACTACAGAGTAAAAGCTAGTAATGTTTTAATGAATAAAAATTTCCTCTACCCTAGAGGCAAAGTCATCAACTTAATGAGATTGTAACATGATGGAAATTCTTATTGCTCAATACCTGAAAAGGAGGGAAATAAACAAGCCATCTCTCGATGTGGCTGGCATACCACCCTGGGACCAAACATCTCTTCTGCAAGGCTCTAAGCTCGGAGGGTGCACGGGGCCCAGCTGAGATCACTTCGTAGAAGCTAAACTTCAGAGCTGCGGGGTCTTCATGTGATCGCTGATGCTATGATGAAAAGGTGGATAATTAAACTAACTTGAACCATAGGCATGAATAATTAATTAAAAACCAATCTCTGTGACAAGTCTTGAAGCTAAAGGAAGGAGCGAGTCACTGCTGGAGAGTTATTTGTTTTGCAATTAATAAAGGATGAAAATGTTTGCTTGGAGCATCAGGATTTAAAGCTATGACACTGATGAAGGTATCTTTTTTGAGAACTTACTTTGGAGAGGCTGAATTCTTATTGATAGGCCTCCTTAACCAACTTTACTGAGTTTTTTTTCTTAGTGTATGTATTTATTCTGAAAGTAAACTTTTTGAAAGTTGCATTAATGCCCCCTTTGCAGTCCATAAGCAAAACATTTGTTATGTCCATTGAATATCCATAATACACAAGCACTCTGCTAGTTCTGCTATATAGTTTTGCTCCGTCTATTAATGCAGTTTTAGATTAGAAAAGCCCTACTGGCTATTTTAAATGGAGAAACTACTGAAAACTCTGACACGTACATTATCTGAAATCCACAGCTTTTATCACATACCACCTAGCATCTAAAAGCCAAGATTATTTTACCTAATGGTAACCTTCCTTTGTGATTAGTCAGAATCATTTATTGTACAGAAATGCAGAAAGCAGCAATCCAAATAGGAAAGTGTTTCATAATGGCTCAGGCTGAGGCCCATGGGTTTGAGAAAATCACCTTTTCCCTAAATTGACCAATAAACATTCAGGCTTAGTGGTAGGTTTGTGGATGTTTACCACATCTAGTTGAATAGCAAATTTGCTGCAATTGAGATTCAAATTACTATACTACAACCAGTACTAGACTTTGTTAAAGCCTGCATTTTGCCACCATAGAGTGATTTATTTGTAATATTTAGGACATTTTGTTAGCTTACAGCCTTGAAATCTCCCTTTATAGTAAATTCTCAATTTTTCAGGGGCTAAGCGGTTGCCAAGTTCCAATTTTCTTTTCTCTTTGAGTCAATTAAGGCTTATTTCTCTTTTCTCTAGACACCTGGTGGAAAAGGTAAAAGACATAAAATCTAATCAGTCAATTTGCAATTTGTTGTAGACTATGATTTAATAGATGGCTGTAGGAGTTTGGCATCAATGCCTCGTGTGGAGTTGTGGATTTCAGCTTTCCAGGATGTCTCACTTCCTATTATGCAGATTATTGTCAACATGCCTATCTAAGATCCCATCTGCTTTATCATGACCTTTTCCTACTCTGTCCCAGGCACAAAACCTTTCCTGACAATTTGTTCTTCCTTTTTGAATCTGGAAAAACTACTTTTGTTAAATAACAAAAGGACCCAGTGCTGAGAAACTTTATTTTCTAATATCCTAGATTGTCATGAATTATCTTTTTGAAATCCTATCAGTGGGAATGGAACACACTACACTTGTCTGGAAGATCAGAGCTATGTGCATTCACTTTAATACAGAGAAACAGGCTTATTTCCAACCCAGGTGCAGAGATTCAGATAAGGAGTTTTTGGTTTTGTTGTTTTGTTTTTGGTTATTACCTTTGTCATTATATGGTATCCTTCTTTATCTCTTGTTACAGTCTTTGTTTTAAAGTTTATTTTGTCTGATATAAGAAGCATTGCTACCCCAGCTTTCTTTTTGCATGTTAAATGCATTTCCATCCCTTCACTTTCAATCTGTATATGTCTTTAAGTCTGAAGTGGGTCTCTTGCAGGCAGCATATAGATAGATCCATTCAGTCACCGATGTCTTTTGATTGGAGCATTTAGTGCATTTACATTTAAAGTAATTATTGATAGGTGTGCACCTATTGCCATTTTGTTACTTGTTTTGAGATTGTTTTTGTAGTTCTTCTCTGTTCCTTTCTTCTCTTGCTGTCTTCCTTTGTGGTTTGATGGCTTTCTTTCTTGTTATGCTTGGATTCCTTTCTCTTTATTTTTTTGCATATCTGTTATAGGTTTTTGATTTGTGGTTACCATTAGGCTCATATATAACATCTTATGCATATAGCAGTCTATATTAGGTTGATGGTTGCTTAAGTTTGAGCCCATTTTAAAAATGCTAAATTTTTATTCCCCCCATCATGTTTTATGTATATGATACCACACTCATCATCCTTTTATTTTGTGAATCCCTTGACTGATTTTTGTTGGTATAATTGACTTTACTGCTTTTGTGCTTTAACCTCTATATTCGTTTTATAAGTGATTAACCTACTATCTTAATTGTATGTTTGCATTTACCTGTGAAATTTTTTTCCTTTCATAATTTTCTTACTTTTGATTATGGCCTTTTCTTTCCACCCAAAGAATTCCCTTTAATGTTTTTTGGAAGGCTGATTTAATGGTGATGAACTCCTTTAACTTCTATTTGGGAAACTATCTCTCCTATTCTGAATGATAAACTTGCTGGGCAGATTATTCTTGGTTGTAGGTTTTTTTCCTTTCAGTACTTTGAATGTATCATGCAACTCTCTTCTGGCCTACAAGGTTTCTGCTGAAAAATCAGCTGATAGATTTATGGTGTTTTCCTTGTATGTAACTGTTTTCTTTCCTCTTGCTGCTTCAAAAATTCTCCATCACTACTTTTTGTCATTTTAACTATTATGTGTCTTGGTGTAGACCTCTTTTTAGATGTTATCCTAGCCTAATAACAGGTAAGGGGTTTTTGAATACAGCATTTCACATTTATCTCAACTTTATAGTTTCCAAGGAAAAGGGACCCTTAGTCTATTTTTCAGTCTATTTTTTCAAAATACAGATGTGTAGAAGCACAGATATACATACAAATACATGCTATTTTGTTATATTTTCATTTCATTAATAAATTTTATGAAATTAATGCAAAATTAATAAAAACTTTTTTAAAGATTTTTTTTTTTAATTTATTGAGAGAGAGAGAATGATAGAGAGAGAACATGAGAGGGAAGAAGGTCAGAGGGAGAAGCAGACTCCCTGCTGAGCAGGGAGCCCGATGCAGGACTTGATCCCGGGACTCCAGGACCATGACCTGAGCCGAAGGCAGTCGCTTAACCAACTGAGCCACCCAGGCACCCCATAAAATTAATAAAAACTTAAGGAGAAAGTTAGTTTCTCCAGAAACAAAGAAAGCTCTATCCACTTTTATGCAGATATAAAACTAGCAAATCTCTTTTATGGAGACCTGAGTTGATTGCTATTGCCACAAACCATCCTCCTTTCTTCATACTCCCCTTCTTACCTGTTAGATTCTGTCTGTAGTATTCTTACCTGATACCAGGAATATGCTCGATCTGAAGGGTCAATGAGGATGGTGATGATCTTGGCTTTGGGGACCAGAGAAGCTGCTCTTTTAGGAGCTTCCTCTGAGTGGAAGTAATTGGCACTCTTTTCAAACAGAAAGTCAGTGGTGACATTAGATGGGACTGGGAAGAAATCCATATACCTAGAAAAGGAATATTTCTCAAAATAAGACTGGTTTATACTCAACTCTGGTGACTATAGATGTTAAAGGTGTCCCACAAATTCATTTGTTTTCTAAACAAAGGCCTTTTTCTATAAGGCATTATGTTCCTTATAGTTAGCAAGGGAAAAGTATACAGGACTTACTAATGTAATTTGAGAATGCTTCTGTAAATACATTTTCTTTTTTTTGCTTTTTCTTTTCTTTTTGTTTTGCTTACTATCAGGAGATAGCAAAAATGTAGACATAGAATGATTGAATTGGAACAATAATCAACCTAACTAACTATATAAAATGCATCTAAATGCAGAAATATTTTACAGAGAAAAATGTGAGTGCTCAAACGGAAGGAAAATTTGATTAAAACAGATGATATGTTCAGTTCAAAGATATTTAAAAAGGACTTAGACAATTTTTTTTTTTACTTTATCACAAGTGAAATAATTTCCTTTCCACTAATGTGTTGTGCTGTGGTTGCATTCAACTATAAAATGTTAAAGGACAGGACACATCTGGTGTAAACATCACCTATTTGCTTAATTTTTTTCCCTTTAGATCCACTATATTCTTTAGAATATTTATAAAAGTTTAAAAAGTAAGTACATATTTCCAAATGTAAAATCCTATCAAATTTCCCAATATCCTTAAGCGGGCTGAGAATGTAAATCACTAGCAGAGTGAACACAGGAATACCTGAAGCCTTAAGCAGAGAAGTGTAGGACATAATAGATTTTGTATAATGTCCCATCTAGATGTACAAAAGCTGTCAAATATAAACTAATTCAGCATGTGATAATATATATTTCTGAGGCCCTAAGGACAAACTTTTAAAGGAAAAAGAGCCTTTTTGGAGAGCACATGCAAATTTAACTTCTAGGGTTTCTTACATTTGATCATAATGGTTTCTTCATCTTCCACTCCCACCCTCTTCAATTTATAAGTCACCAAAACTTTGGGCTACCAAAACATGGTAGTTCAATAATTATTGAACAAGAGAGCCATTAACATTTATGTGATGACTTCTTGATGCCTTATGTTGTTTTCTTTTAGTCATCTCACATGATCAAGCTTCTGGTAGGATTCCAGTTGTTAACATATTGCAAAGTTTGGCTGGCACAACAAAGTAATGTCTTGAAACTCAGGATGGTAAAGAAATCCTTTTATGTTTTCTGGAAATTGCCTTGGTAATATGTCATTCTGGCATCCTTTTAGGGGGAAACAGATATATAAAAATTTCTGGGAAGTTTGATCTGCTATCTGTTCTTGTATATAATCTATTTGCACAAAGTGCCAAATTTTAAGATATTTCTTAATTTAGATGCTCACCTTGTGTTCCAGGGATGCTAAGGTTATCCCAAGTGTCTAGTGGTATCTTATTTGCTCTAAGCTTGTCTGAGCCATGCTTATTCTGAGAAAGGCTCTGAAAGCCACAAAAGAAGGGCAGAAAGTACTAAATTCTGATAGCTTTTAGTTTCTAAAAATAGTCCTACTTTTCCAGCAGTCCTCTTTATACCTGCAACAGTTTAGGCCTTAAAAATTTCCTCATGCAGTTTTGGATCTTGGACCTATAATGTGTTGATTTTGCCTGGCCCCAGAGGCTCATGGAAAAAGCAGGGTCCAATTCTTGTCCAAGTATTACATTCCTCTCCACTTTTAAAGCAGTTTTTCATCACTCCCTTTAGTCCTGATGTTAATGTAGATTTATTCTACCATATACAGGCATATATATTTGGGTCACTGGTCAAATAGCAGCTGAAGTAGTTGATGCTTTCTTGATTCTCACAGTTGTTATTTAACATGACACAATTAATCAATATCAAGTCCTGTACTGAAGAATTGGCAGTGAAGGATATTACAATTAGAATATATGTAAATCCTAGTAGCTGCTCAAATTATACTCAACACATTTCTTTCCTTTTGGGCCACACACAAGCAACTCTCGAGGGGGTTGATACTTATAAAATTGAGATCATGCAATCCGACAAAAGAAGTTAATATGTAACAACTTTTTATGCTAAAATACATGCAAAATGTTTATGTTCATGCTCTAGAATTATTATAATTCCACTTTTATATCACTGTCTGCTTAGAATTTCTACCTTAACAGCAAGACTTATATATATTTTATTATTAATATGTTCATGTACAATATCTATTCCTACTATATTACTGTATTTTGTGTATACTTGACATTTTAACTTTTAATTTAACTATTTTCCTTAGATGGTTGATATAGTTCCAATTTCAATTCAAAGACCAAAAATTAAATTTTGTATATTGTTGATAGCTTTATTATAGTTTTCATTACTTATAAAATATATACACATTTCTAGTTCTATTTATTTACCTTTTGTGCCAAAGCAAAATAGAAAATTATGTACGTGGACTGTAGCATCACTGTAATGCAAAGTACACAAGAAGAGAAAGTATTTTCTTAAGAGTGGGGAGGAATGAAATTCCTGGGTGTTATGGTATTTCTCTGACTTTATATCTGTAATTACCCTCAAAGATAATTAATGCAAATTGAAATTACATATGGGCCTCTTGAGGTGACAAGTCCCTTAAACTGAGAAAAGTTTCTTATGAATAATTTCTGTGCTTCTTCATTTTATTCAATCCATTTCCAAGGCACACAGTGGCTACAAACTTAATGTTTATAAATATTAGCACTAATTTTATACTGTGCACAGTACATATACTTTTAGATTTATACTAATAACCCATCTTACCAATCAATCCCCCTGTGGTAGTTATTTCTATTAAAGAACTGTACCTCCTCAAAGGTTTTTGGGCTGGGGGAGTTACTAAAGATGGAAGGATGCATAACCAGGAACAAATACAAAGCAGTGGTTCCTGAAAAGACAATAGAGGTTTAGAAATTAAAGAAATGAAAACAGTTTCCTACTATTAGCATTTCAAAGTCATTAATAAACTAAGTATTGTAATGATCCAAACAGATACCTATTAGTACTCCTTGAATTAAACTGAAGAGATCACCAGCATTTTAAAAGAAGCAAATTCTAAAAAACTGGAGATAAGTATAATGTGACAAGAAGAGGCCCGCTGGGGGGACTGTTTGACCGCATCTCTATCACTGATTTGGTTTGTGACTTTGGCTTTTAGCTCCTCTTTGTCTTGGCTTTATCAGTAGAAAATCACCTGCCTTGCTTATTTTATAAGCTTTCTCTGAGTATGACATGTCATATTGTGCCTGAAGGTATTTTGATATTAATAAAGCATTATATAAAGGAAAGATATCATTGTTTCATATAAGATATTACATCACCAAAACCAATACTTGGATTCTCCTCTAATTTGAGACAGAGTTTAAACTTTCAACGAGTTTTTTTAAATTTGAATGTACTTCTAAAAAAATGATGTCAGAAATCATTTTTTTTAAAATGGTGTCCTTTCTCAGTGACATAACTTATAAAATCTGCAGTTTTGGATAGAGAATGGCATATCACAGGTGCCCATATAGATTTGTGACTATTGGGAATCAAGGGTGTGATGTCCTTTTCAAAATGAGCAGTGTTATAAACTGTAAAATTAGTATGTTAGAGCCTAAATTATGGGCTAAAGGGTATAGCTTAGATTGCACAAGAAAAAGTAAGGCCATTTGAGTTCAGTTTGCCTAAAATTTAATCAGGTGCATGTAACTGTAACTGTGTTTATAAAATCATAATATTTCTGGTCCATGTCTTCAGTATTCCTAAGATTCTAGTTTCTACTTCTCTGCTCTAATGCAATTTACATTATTATACAATCTGATGGAGAGGGACCTGTTAATTATATTCCAGGTCAATAGCTAGCAATGGTCTTCAGACACAGCCTTATAATATTTTTCTCAGTTGGAGAAATCACTGTTCTAATTTTGCTTAGTAATTATGTCATGTTGCCGTCCATTTTAAATTTTGAAAATTCTTATCTCTCTGACAAGCTTTATTTAATGTTGTATTTAAATCTAACATAGCAACCCAACAGAAAAGTTGTTAAAATAACTCTTTCAATAGCAAAATTGTCTAAAACAATGAATTGAAAGAGGCCTTGTTCCTAGATTACTATCTTTGCCAAACAATGAACATTTTATCTGTATACATGGGTAACTAGAGGGAATGAAACATAGTAATTTATGTTATACAAAATAAAAATGTTCTTCACAAGCTTGACCTAAAACAGTGGTTCTCACACTTTAGCATGCCTTAGATTAACCTGGAAGGCTTGTTAAACGGAGAACTGAGCCCTATCCCAGACTTTCTGATTCAGTAAACTTTGAGAATCATGACTTAAAAGAAATGTGGAACAAAATCTAAGACTTATTGGAGGAAAAATGTTCCATACTTGAAATCCAGAGTAGAATAAAGGTTTCTTGAGCATGGTCTTTAGAGTCAGGTAAATTCTAGGATCAGGATTTTATTTCTAACACCGATTGTGTGAATGTGAACAAAAATATCTAACCTGAGGCTTAGTTTTCTTATTTGTGTAGTGGGGGGAAAAATACTTAGCTATCGGGTTTTCAGGAGGGTCAAGTAAGATAACTTATATGAAATACTTAAGTAACTTCATATCTCAATATTAGTAAGGTATTTATTTAATTTTTATATTTATTTATTTACTTGAGAGAGAGAGAGAGTGCATGTGGTGCACTACTAGAAGAGAAGAGAAGAAACTACTAGAAGTAATTTCTCAAATCTACTAACATTTCCAAAAGGGAGAGGGAAAGAGAGAATCTTAAGCCTAGCCCTGAGCCCGACATGGGGCTCTACCTCACAGCCCTGCGATCATGACCTGAGCCAAAATCAAGAGTCAGACACTTAATGGATTGAGCCACCCAAGCGCCCCAAGTATTTTTTAAAATAACAACTTTTATGAGATAAAATTCAGTAATGTGTTAAAAACATTGAAAAGAATAAACTCTTTGTGAGGATAGGAAGTATGACCATTATAATGTGAAAAAAAAAACAGATTAATTCCTTTCTTAGATCAACTGGAAACATTCTTTTCTGAGTTTTATTTTTAAGAATTGTATTAAATCATGTTGTTTGCTTTTAATAGCATGACCAGCATCAATAAGACAAACTGAAAAAGTAGATATCTAATTGTTTACATAGTCAGTAAAAGGCATAATATAATTTTATCAGTGGTCAAAAAATTGTTAGTTTGTGGTTTCTGAATTCTGTCTTTACCTTGTTCTTGGGTCTGAATAAACTGTCCTGTGTGTGTGTGTGTTTTTTAGAATGTGTATAATGTGTGTATGTGTATAAAACAACCATCTAATCATAGACACACCCATTCAAATAACCATCCATAAAGCTTGCTTTATTTTTTGTCAGTTTCAACACTAAAAATATTTGAATATACAGAAGACTATACATCTATGGAAAACTATTCAGAGAAATGCCTTTGATAAAAACTAAAGTTAAAATGAAGCTATTTAATTTTTATGAAACTGATCAGAAGATGTTTCTCCATTTAAAAAATCAATTTCATAAAATATTGCTATACATAGTAACATGGATGAATCTCAAAAGCATTATCTTAAGTGAAAGAAGTCAAACACAAAAGATTGCACATTTTATGCTTCCATTTATAAGACAGTCTAAAAAAAGCAAAACTACAGTAGCAGACAGTAGTTTCCTGTGACTGAGGATTGGGAGGGGCATTGGCTGCAAAGGGATGTGGATGGAGAAACATTTTAGGGAGACAGAAATTTTTTTTTTTGTTTTTGAGACAGAAGTGTCAATGTTGTGGTTATACAACTATGCACAATTGTCAAAATTGATCAAAATTTGTGCTAAAATTGGCAGATTTTATTGCATGTAAATTATACCACTACAAAACGGGAAAAATTTAGTTTCTATAAAAAGGAGATAAAAAATTTTTCTTCCAAAGGTAAATGTCATATACAATTGTAATGAAACATTTGGAAACCCAGCTGAGTTTAAGATGGCAAGTAATGGTTCTGCCATCTAACCCTGATTTTAAAAATGTCTGCACATGTAGCAGGAAACAAGAGGATGCACTTCCTGCAGGGCTTTCTGAAGTGAATTTGATATGCCAAGCTTCAGAGAGATGTGATCAGTAATGACAGTGGGAGTTCCTGAAGAGACTTCAGTTTCAATGTTTTTCTAGTTGTCTCTTGACTTTAAATAGATACAGACAAATGAAATAAATAAGGATGAGAAAAGGTTTTACCATATTTGTTATTGTTTTCAAATTGATATTGGCAAATGGGACCAAGAGAAAATGAATAGGCTAAACTCTCTGTGTACATTACATAAAATCTTCCCCAGTTATTTTTGGACAAATGAGGAGAAGGAAGGTATTCCCCTCAGAAAGGCATATTGCTGAAATGGCTGTTTTCTGTGAAGCCAGAATCCAAGAGCCCCAAATAATTTATCATGCAGGATACAGCATGTATGTCTGGCATTTTAAAGTTTCCACTGGGCTTCATTTTAATACCAATTCTTAAAGAAACAAGAAGTTTATGGGGAAAAAATTGCATGCCAATTTAAGAAGAGGTGCAAGATTTCTCCTGGGTGTGAATAAATACCTTTGTTAGCACAAAGTTTTGTTTATGTCTGGAATTCTGCTTGTCAAACATCCTTTCGATTTTTAGAAAATAGTCATCTCTGCAAAAAATAGTTTAGAAATAAACTATATCAGGAAGATGGCAGGAAGAGTTTGTTTTTCTGGAAGGGATTGATTATAAAGAGTTATAGATACTTATATGTGTCTATCTTGACTTTTGATGAAATCCTGTCAGTCACTTTCTCAAGATGTGATTCGTTTTGATTTTAGAAATGTTAACAACAACACCTTTCAATTCAGGTCTTTGGAAAAAAATTAGCATTTGCTACCAGATTGGCTGTTAGATATTCAAACCATATGACACTTATTTTCATCTTTTTCACTTAAAAAATTCCTTGACAAGCATTTAAGTACATTATCAAGCTAAACAGATTATATCAGAGAACAAAATGTGTTATTTATTCATCATTATTTATAGGAATTTTGAAAACTCATTGTGACTAGAACTTACTATCTAGTCATCGGGAGTTTTACACTGTTTGGTTAATCATAACAAAAAGCTCTCACCAGTTTTCTGGGGTCCTATTACCAAGAATTTTGGTAAGCGATCACAGGTTTTTTCTTTCGACCAAATGTCTCTGTGGCGTTTGTCATCACAAGGATTCTAAATGGGAGAAGAATATAGAGATGTGTTTTTTGTGAGTGTCCATTGTGTGCTAGAGTTTTTCAACTTTTTAAAAAAGATTTATTTATTTATGTTAGAGAGAGGGAAAGAGAGAGTGGATGGGGGAGGGGCAGAGGGAGAGGGAGAGAGAGAATTTCAAGCAGACTCTCTGCTGAGTGCGGAGCCCAACCTGGGACTTGATCTCATGACCCTGAGATCATGACCTGAGCCGGAATCAAGAGTCAGATGCTCAACCGACTGAACTACCCAGGCACCCTGAGTTTTTCAACTTCTGTCCTTGAAAAGATATTCCAGGAAAAAAAAGCCATGTGGCTTCCTTTAAACGAAGGCCTTGAAGTGGCATCAGTGAAGCTTTTAAGTAATTCCTTTCCATCCTGAAGTTGAGTGTCTGCTGAGGGGTTGGGGGAGAGGAGGCATTTCCACTATGGCTAACAGCCTCACAGCACTGAGGATTTAATATTTTTTTCTGCTTTTGGCAGTTCTATTTCTTAATTGTGTGTGCGTATGTTTGAAAACAGTGAGCTGCAAAATAGTGCTGGGCAGAGGCTGTGTTTCTTGCGAACGTAAAAGAAGGTACACTCACCATTCAATAAGTAACTGAAATATAAGGTGTAAGATTTTTATTCTCAATAACTTTGAGCTATTTTGCTGCGCTTCAAAGAGGTACACATCTGGCCATAATAATACTATTTAAAGAGATAGCAGATCCCTTCAGTAGCCTTCAGAGGTCGGTAAATGTATATGTAAAACTATAACTTTACAGATTATGATGCTAAAAAGCACTAAATTTCAGCAAAAGAGTAAAATGAAGGTGAATTACTACCTTAGGGATCTGCTTTTTATGTATAGTAGATGAACTAAAACCACTATGCAAGATGGATCTAGAATATCCTTAATTTCAACTGCGAAGTGCACATTATGTAAAGAATTGAAGTACCCTTTAATACTATTTCAGATATAGCAATCGGGACAGTACTCTATTTCTATTCAATTAATGCTATAGGTGTGTGTGGTTAAATAAACTATTTACAGTAAGCAACAGATTAGTTAAAACTAAAGTGAGGATGTTCTTTTTGGTTGTTGTTCTGGAAAAAAGTTTTCAAACCTGTCACCTGAAATAATAATGACTTCAGTTTAAAAATAAGGTGTTGAGGCACCTAGGTAGCTCAGTCGGTTAACCACCTGCCTTCAGCTCAGGTCATGATCTCAGTGTCCCGGGAGGGAGTCCCATGTCAGGTTCCCTGCTCAGTGGGAGTCTGCTTCTCCCTCTCTCTCTGCCCCTCCCCTCACTCATGCTCTCTCTCTCTCTGTCAAATAAATAAAAACTTAAAAAAAATAAATAAATAAGGTGTTAAATCAGCAGGAAAATTGCATGTCTTTCAGTGGCTTACATTTGGTGATATTTTGTAGTGGTTAAGAAAAAAAGTAATATGTAGTGATAATTCCACAAGCACCTTTTTCACATTCTAAAATGTGTAGTTATGTCTCTTCTTGAAGTTATCTGTTTGTGGTCAGGTGGTAATTAGCTTACATTCAAAGCCGAATGAGTTGTATATAGTTCAGAGCTTACTGCAACTTCAGTCTGTGAAATTTACTCAGTTCCACTTCTGATGATTGTTATTATTGTACCATCAGCTCTGTTGGTAACTCTCTAGTAGCTCAGTAACTCTCATTTAGAATAGTGATTAAGAGCACAGCCTCTGGAGCCAGAAGGCCTGGAACTTGCCTAGCACACAACTTGTTTACCACTCTTCTACTCTTTTTAGTTGACTGCAATCTGTGAATTGATCCCTCACTCCTGACTGAAAACATTATATCCATTGAACCCCTCGTTGAGCTTTCAGAATTTCATAATTCCTAATGGGCATAGGAACAGAGAATTTAGTTCACTATGATGCAATAATATAAGACTGAAGTTTGGGGCAGCTGGGTGGCTCAGTCTTGTTAAGCATCTGCCTTCGGCTCAGGTCATGGTCCCAGGGTCCTGGGATCGAGCCCCGCATCGGGCTCCCTGCTCCACGGGAAGCCTGCTTCTCCCTCTCCCACTCCCCCTGCTTGTGTTCCCGCTCTCGCTATGTGTCTCTCTTTCAAATAAAGAAATAAAATCTTAAAAAAAATAAAAAACTCCAATTCAGGAAGTAGTTTCTCAAATCTACTAACATTTCCAAAATGTATAATTTTTTTCCCTCCAAATGCCTTCACTTTTCAGATTTGGATTATCTCATAGAACTTCAAGATATGTTTATGGGATTAATTAGTTATAGCAATTATTGAAGCAATATTACCTGCCATAGAGGGTCTTTTTGATCAGGAAAGAGCTCAAAATACTTGTGAGCCAGCTGTGCTGGAGGCAGAGTCTGAAGTCGCAAGTTGGTCCAGCTCTGCACGAAGTTGGCCAGATTAACAAATGTGTATAGTCCCAGGCGGTCATTCCCATAGTTGGACAAATGCGTCATGAAAATGCTGATCTGAAAAAGGCAAATGGACTTCAGTGTAAACACAAGTTATTTTAACCCTAGGGGGCAGTGCAATCATAGCAATGCTAGTTTTTCTTCAGTAGTCTTTGCCCAGGGTTTCAGTTCATGCCATGTTTCTGAATTGTGGACATATCCCAAATACTCTGATTATATTAATGCATATTAGAGGATCTGTTATTAATAAGGCTTGGTGAACACTTTTTTTCTGAGATTTTAATATATTTCATAACAAAAAAACCCCCACAAGTCCAACTGCTATATATCCATGTTGGTGCAATTAGTTTGATGCTGAATAAGATCCTAGATGCTCACACATAATGGCTTCATGACATCAGTGACCTATTCATAATTTGTGGCATCAGAATCTCAGGAGATTGGAATTTTATAATTTCAATCTACTTAATTTGGCTTATAATATAATATTTCAAGTTAAAGAATATAAATGATTAGTGTATCACCATTATCAGCATGAACTGAATATCCTCTGATTTGTATTTATTAGAGGCCGTTTGTACCATCAGCTCTGTTAGTAACTCTCTAGTAGCTCAGTAACTCTCATTTAGAATAGTGATTAAGAACACAGCCTCTGGAGCCAGATGGCCTGGAACTTGCCTAGCACACAACCTGTTTACCACTCTTTTACTCTTTTTGGTCGACTGCAATCTGTGAATTGGGACTAAATTTTTGCTAAAATAAGTATTAACTATTTTCCATCAATAACACTCTCAAACCCATTTCCATAGTCATTGGGTCTATTATTTCTAATATCAGATACCTCCTTTAAGACAAATTTTCAGTGTTTAGCTAGATAAAATCAACTCTTCGTATGAAAGCAACTGACCTAGATTGAATTCATGCATTGAAAACAAAATCACAGCATTTTCTCCATAATAAAGTAAATTTAAATTCTGCAGGTTTGATTAAATTGGTATGGAATGTAGAATGGGCTTTTTAGAAGCTATTGCTTCAAGTGAATGCAAATAGTTTTTGTTGGTGAAGTGTTGACAAATGGAAATAATTCTGCATGAGATTTTCAATGGCAAAGAAACCACTGTCACATTTATGCTGCTATAAAAAAGATCATAAAAATAATTCATGTGATAATAGTACTTTCCTAAAATATATAATGTCGTGTGAATGAATAGTAATAATAGTTATTATAATCATCATCATAATGAATATAATAGGTTCATTCATTAGAGACTGAAAGAAATATTCAAGGAAATTTATTGAGGTAAAGTAGCAGAGAAGAGAGAATGGTTATATTAAGATTTGATACAATGAATCAGAAAAAAATCTAATTACAACTATGAATAAGAAGAAACAGTGATATCTTTTATTCTATAGAATAAGTCCTGTTGGCTTTTATATGAAAAGCTTCAACTGTGATCAAGAATATTTAATTGTATTTCTATTCACTCTGCCTGAACATATCTTAAATCCTAGAACTTTCACAAAAAAAATACTTTGAGGGTGACTTTAAACAGCTACCAGCAGACTGATGTAGTCATGGAATTGATAAACAAGACTTTTACCATATTGGGTATTTCTGAAAAATGAGACTTCTAAAATTTAACCTCTGGTTATTTTTGTAGTAGCTTCGATTCTATGACTTTTGTTTCCCTTTCTTTTCTCCTCCAAAATTTATCAAAAAATCACCTATTGAGAGACTCAATACAATCATGTTACATTTGAAAGTTCTTTTCTAATGTCTGTTAGAGGCAGTCTTTCATCATTTGTTTTATATGCCACATTTTTCAGTGCAACTCAACAACAACAGCAAAATACTTCAAGTTGCTTATTACATGAAAAAATTTTAATACAATGTAACATATATGTTAATCCACTTAGGCACTAGTTTATATTTCTTGCTTTATTTGTGAAAGATTTATTAATACCTCTATGTGTCTGTATTTCACTTGAATAGCATCTGCATTGGGCATAAAATGGGAAATGTGGAGATACTGTGTGACTTTGTGATACTAATACATTTGAACTCCCTTTGAGTTTACTTTTCAACCCAGAAAACATTTTACTCTGTGACATTTAAAGCAGAGTGTCACTGTTTTACCCGTATGAGTATAGAAAGTAAAAAAATGCTACTCTGTCTGCTAAAGACAGAGGCAATCCAGAATGAGTTGTGAGCTAGTTAATGACATTGCTTTTGCTGAAAGTTAACCTGATCGGCAAGAATTAAGGTAATACTTAGAAGGTGTTGAATTTAATCCTGTAAGATAAAAGCTACTTAGCCACCAGCCATGGAACCTTCCCCGGGTTTTCAACTCTTTTTTTGTATATCTACTTTAACATAATTCAAAGTGCACCATAAACAAAAGGACTGTTTCAAAGTGATGGCTTTGTAGTGTGTGTTACCTCAAGACATTTTCAGACTCTGGACTCAAGCCTGAGATTTGTTTTGTTTTTCTAAGAAATTCAAAGCCATGAAGGGGATATAATTGTTCAGGACATAAAATAATTTCTTTTTAAATTTGTGTGTGTGTGTGTGTGTGTGTGTATCACAATATTCTCTCTACACAATGAATATTCTATATCTCTAGCTGAACATGTAAACTCTCCAAGTTTTATTAATTTTTAGTTAGGAAGGTATGCACAACAAACAACCGGACTAGTGAGAACAGACATATAATGACAAAGTTTCGGTAAAATAATTAGTTTGCTTTTCAGACAGTATTTCTTTCTTACTCCTGTTATGACCTATGACAACTGTAATGTCACTTTATTTCTTGGCAACAGTTTCTGCCTGAATAGAAAGAAACAAGGAAGCTTGAAAGAGTTACCAGTTCAAGGAAAATAGATAGTAGTCTTTCCCTAGAGAGGATGCCTTTATAATTTTAAGAGTGCTTCAGAACTAAGGATTTGTTTGTTTGTTTGCCTTTTTAAAAAGGATAAATGTGTCAAAATAAATTATCTTTATCATACATGTAGAATCTAATAAGAAAGAAAATGTCAAAGAAGTTACAATTGCATTTCCACAAATTTTTGCTACATGCATACTCTAAGTAATTAGTTGTTACCAAAAGGACTAATTAGCTGCTTAAAACTCAAATCATTGGAAACTCTGCCAAAGATATAAATTTTATCTAACGGTTGAAAACAATTCTTTCTAGCCTAATAGATACAGACATGTATAACAACATACTCACTATGATTATTTTTCTGTAAAAAGTAAAAGCTAAATGCCAAATATCATATACACTGGTATTTATGGGAGAGGAAACAGATTATCATTTGTAAAAGTGTGGCTAAGAGAAAGATGTGGGCACTCACTTTATCTCACTTTCTAGCCTCAACCATGTGAATCTAGTAAGTTCCAGGTATTGGAGATGCATGAATCGCTACCAACAAGAATAAGGAACAAAATACGGGTCCTGGTGCAAAAGCAGTTGACAGTGCAGTAATCCGTTTCTTTTGAGGTCAAGGGGAGGGGAGAGTAAATAGGGGTGTAAAAAAGTGTGTTACTTCTACTAATTATTTTAAACTATGCCATTTATGACCAAATCCACAAACATTTTTCTTAGCCTACTGCCAGATGCTCTGCCTGGTTCTGGATGCGAAAATATAAATATATGATGCTCATTCTTGTAAGTATTTTTTGTGGAAAAATGCAGAATTCAAAAGGCACATAAGAATTTACAGTGAAAAATGTCAGCCTCCCACTCCTGTCCTTCAGCCAAGCCGTTTTGTTTGGGTATCCTTCCAGGTGAGCAAATATTCAAAAGCCTGAACATATATAACAGATCCCCTAGGAAGCTTATAAGAGTTCAGATCACCAGACCTTACACTCAGTGATTCTGATTTGCTAGGTCTGGAAGGTGCCCTGGTACCTGCATTTTAGAAAATCATTCCAGGTGTCTTGATGCAGGTACCACTGAAATACAGTTTGAGGAAAACTGGCCAGAACCATTGTTTATTCTCATAGAAAAGATTCCATTTGCCAAAAGCCATTGGCTTTTCTGTAGTGGTCCTTTTGAATACCTTTTAAAAACAAACATGTCCTGTTAAGTCCGTAAGTGTATTTTGATGTCCTAGACTTAGAGCTATCCCTAGCTCAAACAACTTGGTAAGTGCCCTTGACCATGCCTTTTGAGGGCTTCTGTACTGCTGACATACGTGTGTAGATGCACAGAAAATTGCTAAAAAAGAAAGAGCTCTGGTCCATATAGACATGTGCAATTGGTTCCTAATTCCCCTTCAATCCTGTTTATTATTATTATTATTATTACTATTATTTTTTAACCAAAGCAAAATTCTTCTCCATTTCCACATGTACCTCTCAGATGCATGTTACCTTATAACTTCTCCATTTAAAAGACTGCCTTGCCTACTCATTTTTACTTTATTTCATGGCATTTAAAAATATGTGGCAGAGGACAAGCATACTGTAATTCTTTGGGGGAAAATAAGGAAAACAGTTTATTTTTATGGGGTAGTGATCAAACTTTGGAAATCTCATTTTTATTATCATGAAAAATATATGAGTCCCACCACTGTCAAGACTGTACTCCATTACATAAGCACATCTCCTTCTGGAAAATAGGTAAAAAAAAATCTTGATTAAAAGGCTATTCTAATGATGCTCTGGGCCTGAGCCTCCTATTCTGTAATTTCCCAGTTTGAACCCACAAATAGTTCCTCATTGCCTTCTGAATTAAATAAAATTCAGGATGTCATCCTTAGTGACGACATGGTCCTAGGTGACCTTTTTAATCTTCCCTTGCATCCTCTTTTTGTTCCTCGTGCACCAGTCTTCTTACTGCTCCCGGGGCTCCCTGGTCTTGCTGACCTCCACAGGCACTTTCTTCTCTCTGTACTCTTCTCCCTAATTCAATTCTCTATATCCAGCCTGTTATAACTATCTCTTCAGATCTCTCCAAGCAAATTCAATCTTTTAACAATATGAGCTCCAGGGGCGTCTGGGTGGCTCAGTCGTTAAGCATCTGCCTTCAGCTTAGGTCATGATCCCAGGGTCC